AAATTAAAAATATATCTGAAAAATGTATAGTAAAATAAATAATAAGTAAATATGTGAATACATTTTGTATTCTGAAATAAATAATAATGCAAGGCTGGTAAATATACAACATCTATCAACACCTACCTTTGAGTTTATGAATTTATGCAAGTTGTGTTTCAAAAATAAAATAGTTAACATTTGAAAATTAAATAGGTCTGCGCGTAGCGCGGATTAATCCCTAGTATATACCAATAGTTAACTTAGCAAAAAAACTTAGTGGAAATAGTATAATACGCGTGGACAACGAGTAATGTACCGAAATTAGCTCACTAATCACATTCACGAACGAAAAGAAGTGGGGACCATCACTACAAATACTTTAACCAAATCAAACGGTGCAGAAAAGAGTTGCGTCCATGATCGTCGTCATTACGGGCCGGTGACTTGACAAACCATCTTGTTTGATATTCCGAAATCTATTAATAAATGTAAATCTTAATTCACCAAAGTCATGCCATCACATATTTCAGAATAAGTTAAAACCTAATCTTATAACCTAGTCTTATCTTTATCACTTAATACATCAATATCTACAATTTTTAAATTCAAAAGTGAAAGGAACTAACCTTATTGATCCATCTTTCCTTCTTGGCCTTTTAAACTCTTTATTTATTTTTCTCAAAAAAAATTCTTTATTTCTTCTTGGTTTAGCACTTAAAGTTGCATTTTTGTTAAGAAGAAATGATTTGTGAATACATCAAGTAAATTATTTGTCTAGTGAAAACTGGAGAAATGAGACTGCAAATATGAAAGTTATAGTTTATTTGGTATATAACAGATAATTAAACTTTTTTATCTTTCAGTATGATGTTGTGAATATCCTATTGTAAAAGAAAACTAAATATGTTATTTATCATCTACATTTACTTTGCTATGACTATATAGTTGTTGCAAATTATTTTTTCTTTTTTGAACAATTTGTTGTTGTCAATTTAATTATGGTTGGAATATCAGAAGAAAATCAATTAAGAGGAAAAGTCTATAGTCAACGGGAGGAACCATATGGCACACAAGCAATGGTATTCCTCCAGCCACCCTCCCCATCGTCACTTACGAACCATTAGAGGCTTCTCTATACATTATTGAAGATTAGATCAGTTATTTTATTTTTCTAAAAGGAAAAAGCTCCACTGTGAATATATATTCCGTTCATAGTGCTTGAAGCGTTTTAGACGCAAAGAAAGACATTAAAACCAATAACTAAAATTAGTTAATTTTGTATATTTATAAATTTATTATCTAATATTAAAGTATTGAGATGAGCTCACTTTAAAAAAGCTTATATACATCATGTTTCATGGTGTTTGGTGCGTTTGCACATTTTTTAAAGCTGAAATTAGTGAATTTTGTATGTCAATTTTAATTTTTAACCAAATAATGTTTTTACTTAACCATGTATACACCTGTCAAATTTTCATTTTAAACAGTAATAAATAAATCAAATTAAAATATCCTTTTAAACAACTAAGTAATTGAAAATCTGTAAGCCAAGTATACATTAATTTTTTCTTTCCAATAACTAAGAACTAAATCAAATTAAAATGTCTTTTTAAATAACTAAGTAATTGAGAATCTGTAAGTCAAGTACACATTAAATTTTCATTTTAATAACTAAGAAATAAATCAAATAAAAATGTCCTTTTTGGACAAATAAAAATGTCTTTTTAAATAACTAAGTAATTGCAAATCTGTAAGTCAAGTATACATACATTAAAGTATTTAATAAAAAAATAAATAGTAGTATAAGAGGAGGAAGTTGAAACATTAACTTCATAATACAAAAAAAAGAGCCATTTTTACATATACACAAAAACACTATCTCTCTCTCTCTCTAGAGCCTCACCACTTTCTCTCTCTTTCCCTTTTTCACAGCCATTTGTTAGATTCCTCTCTCTTTTATTTTCCGGGCTCTTCCTCTAAGTTTTTATTTATTTTCTCGAATTTTCCCAGACGAAGTTTTTTTTATTGGCTTCTGTCAAAGAAAAGACTTTTCTGGGTTTTTTCTTAGCAGTGAAGCTTCTCAATACCCAGTTTTTACTTTTGTTGTTGTATAGACTCTGTTCTTGTGAGATTATATTACATAACTTTTTTGAAAAAAAGATGGGAAAGCAAGGGCCTTGCTATCACTGTGGTGTCACAAGTGAGTTCTTGTTTTCTTTCACCAAGTCCTGTTTTGTATTAATAAAAGTCCAAACTTTGAGCTGGTTACATGTTGTTTATTGAAGAACTTGATTCAACTTATAATGCAAACATGAACAAACATTGAATCTTATGAAATGGTTATGTTTTTGTGACCTTAACTACATGTTGTGTTTCCCTTTGCTGTTTTGATCACTCTTTAGCAGAGTTTTGGATGTTATGTTTTCAAATGTGAAAGTTATTAGCAAATTTGGATCTTTACTTTTGTCTCTAAAATGCTCAATTATGTTGAATCAGAACTCAAAACTCTTAAAGGATGTTTGATCTTAAGAGATCATTGTTTCTTCCTGCTTATGAGGCTTTACTGTAAACAATGAGATGTCTGAAGATGAATAGGCTTTACCTGAACATACTGTCTGTAATTGTTTCCATTGGGAGATTGTGACATTTGTTTGTTTGAGTGTTTTAATCATTGGTAAAATGGTGTAAACAGGCACACCTCTATGGAGAAACGGACCACCAGAGAAGCCTGTATTGTGCAATGCGTGTGGTTCGAGATGGAGAACTAAAGGATCATTAGTAAACTACACTCCCCTTCATTCTCGTGCTGAAGGTGCTGAGATTGAAGATCACAGAGCTCAAAGGATGATGATGATTAATGGAATGTCTGTGAAGAAAAAGATTCCAAAGAGGAAACCATATCAAGAAAACTTCACAGTTAAAAGAACCAACTATGAATTCAACAACGGTTTCAAGAAGAGGCCATTAGATGAAGAAGCTAGCAATAGGTCGAGTTCAGGCTCGGTTGTATCTAACTCAGAGAGCTGTGATCAATCCAATGCGTGGGAAACGACTTTTCCTTGTAAGAAGAGGACATGTGTGGGGCGTCCTAAGGCGCCTTCTTCTGTTGAGAAGCTCACAAAGGATCTCTATAGTATCTTACAGGAACAACAATCTTCTTGTGTCTCTGGTTGTTCAGAGGAAGACTTGCTTTATGAGAATGAGTCACCAATGGTGATAGGACATGGGAGTGTTCTCTTGAGAGATCCTCATGAGGAATCTGAAGCTAGCTCACTCTTGGTTGAGAGCAGCAAGTCCTCATCAATGCAGTCTGATGAGTTTGTGGTGAATAGAGTCCAGAGATCTCTAAACTTTGGTGGAAAAGCTATAAAGCAGGAGCAACTCAAGAGGTATATAACTTGTGTAGACAAGAAAGATTAAGATTGATTTGGGAGAATCTGATCTCAGCAAGTACTAAATGATGTTTTTGGTTGCAGGACCAAATCTCAAGCCTTGGGAAGACATAATTTACCACTTTGTAACATAGATTTGAAGGTAAATTCATTTGCAGCAACTCCCAGTAGTTTTGTTTCTTCAAAGATTATTTTGAATGCCTCTTACCATGGAACATCTTTCTTCAGGATGTTTTCAACTTTGATGAGTTCATAGAAAGATTCACAAAGGAAGAACAGCAAAAGCTGATGAAATTACTTCCTGAAGTTGACTCTGTTGATCTTCCTGATAGGTTCTAACTCAATGCAACTTCAGTGTTTACAGATTTTTTAGTGGCTACTACGTGTTCTAATACTTCGTCTTTGCTTCTTTTTTCCAGTCTTAGAAGCATGTTTGAGTGTTCTCAATTCAAAGAAAACTTCTCCTTGTTCCAGCAACTAGTTGCAGATGGTGTCTTTGAGACATTATCACCATCTTCTTCTTCCTCTGGATCAAAACATGAAGACTTTAAGACTCTTGCAAAGCTTGCTTTATCTGATCCTAACAAATCCCATTTGTTGGAAAGCTATCACATGCTCAAGGTTTTTAGACATATACTCTTCTTGAAACAAAATAGTTTCTTTGCTTTCAGCTTTTGTTCACATAAATCATTTCCTCAGGAACAGAGAAAAGAGATTAAAGAGTCTGTTACTAAACCATCAGATAATCATAGTCTAGTAACCATTGAAAGACCTTGTGAAAGCCTAAACCAAAATCTCTCAGGTCAATTAAGATTCTTAAAATCATGTCAATCCATAACTTCGTGCAATAAACTCTGTCTGTTTCTAATAATTTTGAGTTTTTGTAACTCTTCAGAGACAAAGGCTTTGATGAAGTGTCCCAAAGAAGTGATGAAGATTAGATCAAAAAACATTGAAACCAAAGAGACTATAGAGAATACTGTCTCTTCCTTTAGCCATATGAGCTATGGTGCGTCTATGGAATTTAGCTATGAAGATAATGATATATCTGATCAGGATCTTCTTCTTGATGTGCCGCCGAATGGATCATATCCCCAAGCAGAGCTTCTTCACATGATATGAAAGAAGAGAAAGTTTCTTAAACTCATTGGTGTTTCTCAGAACAAAGCCTTTTTAAAGATCTCTCTCTCTCTCTATTTCTATATCTCTAATAGTTGAAGAGAAAACTCTTTTACTCATAAGACTTTGCTGAGAAAACTGTTGCCAAATGAGATTTTCAATCTGCAGATATATAATAAAGAAAGGATATTAATGTAAGGGGTCTTCTTGGCGGTCTTCTTTTTACATATACAGTCTTCTTGTTCTTACTAAACTCGAAGAACAAGAAAGTTTCGTTTCCTTATTAAAATATTTTTATTGTGCTCTTATTATGTAGAAGATGAGATTCATGAGAACATATTTTTGTAAGAAGTATTAGGTTATTTTGCCAAGATTCAGAGTATTGATGATCATGCTGTGGGTCTTCATTCGAAGACGATGTGCAGGATTTTATTATATGAAAAATGGGAAATGTTAAGCTTGCCACAAGCATCGTTGCCACACAGTGATATGGTTACAATACAAGTTTGATGTTGCTTTTGTGATTTGAACTGGTGAAGGAGGAAACGTGGAAAGCAAGGAAAAGAAGGTTGAAGAGCAGAAAACTCTTTCTCTCTATTGAAGAGAAACTCTTTTATTCTTTACTCGCATTTCTGTGAAATGTGAAACTGGCTTGGATATATATATATTTTTTTGCTTGGGCTACTAAATTTGCAGTGCATGCTTTCAACTTTAGAACATCTCCAAAAAATATTCTATAACACTAAATATAGAGTTTTTGGCTCTCTAAAAAGAAACTTCAAAATTTCAAATTTGAAGTTTTGAGAAATGAAGTTTCAATTCTCAAAACTTCAAATTTGAAGTTTCATCTTTCTATTTACATTTTGGTTCTTACAATTAATTATATATTATATTTAGGATTTTTCAATATTTTCTCGTTTAACATTCTAATCCTTAAAAATTGTATATTTTATAAATATTTCAGATTTGTTTTTATAAATTTAAGTTTTATACATAAAACTTTAGAATAAAATTTATATTATTTTAAAACTAAAATTAGACTTCACGAATATTACAAAAGAAACTTAATTTTTTTAAAAAAAAAAGGTACATGAAAAGCATAGTCATTACATAAATTCAAATATTACAACAATATTAGTAGTATGGTAATTTTTTTCTAAAACCTTCAAAATCACCAAAATATTATCCAAAATTATTGTGTAATTGAAGATGGAGCATTATGGAAATAATTTTATAAAATAATTTGATATTTTGTTTCTATTTATTATTTAGTTATGTACTTTTATTTACAGTTTTATATTTTAGAGTAAATATTTTTAATTAATATTATTGTTATGTTTTTCATTTATATGTTAGTTATTTATGAAAAAATTATTTATTTATATTAATTAGGAAAATTATAAGGACCATAAAGTAAAATACAAATAGTTTTAAAGTTAGATTTGAAGTTTTGCTTTGAAGAAAAACACATTGAAACTTCAAAAATAGAGTTTTGCAAACTCTAAAATAAAGTGTCTTTTTGGAGATGCTCTTAGAGAGTTCTAAGAATTTATTAAATACTTCGTCAAAATTCATTTGTAATCAATAACAGAGTAGCTATATGCCTTTTTTTTATAAAAAAAGAAAGTTACTACTCCCTCCGTTACATAATAAGTGTCACTTTAGACAATTTTTTTCGTTGCAAAATAAGTGTCGTTTTCGGTTTTTTATGCAAAATTTATTGATTTTATTCTGTAATTCATTCTTCTATTGGTTGAGATGTATAGGTAATTGTGTTTTTATACAGGAAATATGTAAAATTAATTATTTCCTTAATCTGTGTGCCAAGACCTAAAATGACACTTATTATAAAACAGAGGGAGTATATGCCACTCTGACTACGATACAGTGTGAAAACAACTTTTTTTTAATGCATAACATGTCAATTTTTCATAGTAATTTTTGAACTATTACAGCAAAACTTTGTTTTATTGACTGAAAAGTGTATGTACCTATTTACGGAAGTGTGTTGATTCCACATTATTCATTTTATTCCCTACGAAACCAACAAGGAAGCTCACCCTTTGCAGTAGTCCATCAAAAAGTAGAGTAGTTTTGAATCATAATTCAACTGTTGAAAATGATGCAGTATACTGAATTCGGAAGAATAATTACACGGACTCGCACAAGTTAAAGAAAAAAGGTTGCATGTGTCAGCTTTTGATTGGAAAAAATGTTCTATGTAGTTTACTCAGATAAAATTGATGTGTCCAATTTTTATTGACTGTTTTATGATTTTTATTTCACTCAATTATTCAAACTCAATTATTAAATAGTAAAACATTTTTAAAAAGTGGAAAATACAAATTTATTAGATGTTATTATCTATAAATGGAAACTAATTCATTTTGATATAGAAAAGCTATTTTTGTTATATTTATTTTATTCAAAATTTTAGTATTTTAAAAAAATAGTTTACAATATTGTATAATAAAAAAATAAAATGATTTAAATTTTATTTTAGATATGAATTAAAAATGGTGTAGTAGTGATGTTAAATTTTAATAAACAAAATTATTATAGAAATTCTAAATAATATGAATGTTGAATAATTAGGTGGAAAAGAAATGAAAGAGGGCGATGAATTATGTAAACCAATATAACTTATTTTACTAGTATGCTAATTTAATAACCATTTATACTGTTTATCAGTTTTATTTTCCAACACAATTACATGCATGAAATTATCATATGGTGTTATTTTTTTCTTATAATTTTTGTTGTCAACACAAAGGTTAGGTACAATAAATTATATTTATAGATAAAGAAAATCAATTACTAAAATTGTCCATTAATCCTCTTCAACACTCTACGAGATTAATATTTTTGTTTTGAGTTTTGGTCGCAGTCACCTTTAATGAATCAAGTAGATGATCAATTAAGATTGATTGCCGAGCAAATAGCTTAACTTTTTTAATAATTTAATTTCATTGAACACCCCATAAAGATGATCTGAAACAATACAACGATTCCGGTAAACCGGAGAAACGCTCGTTCTAGGTTATATGGCAATAAGAAAATACCACATGTAAATTATTTTATTAAATAAAAGATTTTCTATGTTTTCCTAGTTTTCTTAATGTTTTCTGTGTGTTTTAGTTAAATTTTTTTGGTTATTCTCTATATTATAGAACAAATAGTTATTTTCAATATACTACTTTGTGTTAGAATATCAGTTGTTTAATTTTCTAAAGTTCTGTTTTACAAAAAAAAAAACAAGAGAGAAACAATTTATATACATATATATATATATGTGTGTGTGTGTGTTATTTATATTATATGCATTCTTACATAAAAGATTAAACTTCGTTATCATTTTTTCTAAAACATTGTGTGAAAACAACTTTTCATATTTCTGCCTTTTTCTATTTTTCTCATCTTCTTGAATATTAACAGCAAAACATTTTTTTTACAAACAGAAAGTTTATGTACATATTAATGGTAATATATAAATATATAAATGCCATGAATAGTTTTTCGTTTTGTATGAAACCAACAAGGCAGTAGCAGCATTTGCATTATTTTCATTTGTATGAAACAAACAGGGTATTATGTTTTTCACCATTTAATCAATGTTAGTTACTAAAACGCAAAAGTAATCATATGAAAGTTGAAAACACTCAATTCATTCTATGGTTTTTGATAGAACTTCTGCAAAACATTAACCATATTACCATTCAATTAAACTTTGTTAATAAAGCATACAATATGGAATCATCATGATCGTATCAAAAGGTGGTCCAACAAACTAATAAAGTATATTTGCCATTTTTCAGGTACATTTTAATTTTAGAAAACATTACCCAAAACATCACACAAGCCTTCATTAAGCTAACGGTATGGGGCCCATAACAACAGAGACATCTTTGTCTATTTCTCTCCATTTCCAAACTCTTCACCAACTGATATTTCAACACTTGCACCAAATTTTCCCGTGACTGTTAGCTTCACCAGAGACGAAGAAGAAGAAGATTGATCCGTCTCGTCGTGAATTTTTGGTATATCTTTACAGACTTTGTGTTTTTTCATGCTTACTCGTGAAGTTTCTGGTTTTACATTTAACCTTTAATTCGTGAACTTCGTCTTAGTTCTAATTTCTAAACTCATGCTTTCACTTTTTTTTCTTCTTTTTTTTTTCCTCTTCTCCAGAAATGAAAGGTGAATTTAAATTATTTTTGCTATTTGTTTGTTTGGATCTTTTTTGTTGATTTCCTCAAACGATCTGTAAAACGTGCATAATATCATTTTAAGTCTTTTTAAAAAAAAAATGTTTCAAAAAATCATTTTTTTAGTCTTCTCTTTGGATCTTTTTTGTGTAATTTTTTTCTCAAATTCTGTTGAATAATTAATCTTATATCTAAAGAAATTTTATATTGTGCATTTTGTAATGTTTCTACAGAAAAATGAATCGTTCTCCAAACAAGCGACCAATTGTCTATGCTATTCGAGATTTTCCATCTGGTTGCGGAACTAATCCCACTAATGATCCTCCTCACGAGAATCATTCCAAGAATCCAAGAACAAGTGATCGTGTTCTTGTCGAGAATCCGAGTCCTGATCAAGCTGCTGCTGATTCAGAACCTAGTGGAGCTTCTCTCATAGAAGAACAAAACTCTAGAACCTCTAAACACCATCGTGTTCTTGGAGCTACCAAATACAAAGGAAGCTGTTCCAAACAAGAACCAGAGCTTAAACACTCTGGTCATGATCATGACCATGCTCCTACACCTCGTGAGAAAGTCCTTGAGGTCTTGCGTGCTTTCAAAGACGTTTACAGAGAGTTAGATCGAAATAAACAAGCAAGACGCGGTGGAGATTCATTCGACGCTACAGCTAGAATAGATCTCAGAGCACAAAAATTCTTAGAGGATGAAGGCAAACACGTGAACACAGAGAAGAGAATCGGTTTGGTTCCTGGAATCAACATTGGCGACGAGTTTCAGTACAAAACAGAACTTCGTCTTGTCGGGCTACACTTCAAGACCATGTGCGGGATCGACTACATGGACGTAGGAGGTGTGAAGTATGCCACAAGCATCGTTGCGTCAGAGGGATATGGTTACAATGATAAGTTTGATGCAGGCGTTGTTATATATACAGGCGAAGGAGGTAACGTGATAAGCAAGCATGAAAAGAGAACTGAAGATCAGAAGATGGTTAAGGGTAACTTGGCTTTAGCTAACAGCATGAGGCATAAGACCGAAGTGAGAGTGATACGTGGTATGGAGAGATGGGATGGTAAAGGGAAGCGTTATGTCTATGATGGATTGTATTTGGTTGAGAAGTATTGGTTAGAGAAAGGAGTTAGTGGTAAGAGTATGTATAAGTTTAAGCTTTGTAGGATTCCTGGTCAACCTCGTTGACTTGAAAATAACTATTATCAAATGGATGAGTATAAATTTATGGTGACTTGCAAAAATGACTCAAAATTTATGTTTAAACAATTTCTAACATTTCAAGTTATTTATGAAAATGTTAATACGTTATTCCAAAATCAAACAGATCGATGTCTCAAACAACTTTAACGTTTTATCTATTTACGAAAAGTGTCGTCACCAATCACCATCTATGAACAAAAAATCTAGAGTTCTAAATACCTTCAAAGCAATATTTTATCTCTTTTACACATTTGTCAGAATATAAGTTCTCACGGGAGTTTGGACATGATTCATGACTAATATGTAAAATATAGTAGAACCTCTATAAATTAATACTCGATAAATTAATAATCTCTCTAAATTAATAAATTTTACCGGTCCCAACTTGGACCGGTTCAAAATTTGACACAAATCGATAAAATAATAAGATAATAATTTTTTAGAAAGTTCTATGTAAATATATGGTCCCATTAAAATCATAAATTAATAATTTATATTTATACATATTTTATATAAGTAATAATCTATTATTATATTGTTTTTTTTTATATTTACAAGGAAATTCTCTTTATATTTTTTTGACACTTAATAAATTGTTGATGAGATTTAGTAATATTATATCTAAAACCATATTTAAATTCTATGAAATATATATTATATACACCAAGTAATATAATAAATTTAATATAAATGTCAAATTTCAAAAAAATGATAATAAATATCTATACCCTAAAATAAAATATTTTTTTTATTTTAGAATAAATATATCTTAAAATAAAAAGATCTAAATAAGGAAACTTTGGTAAATTAATATCTCTATAAATTAATAAAATTTCAAAGTCCCGACATTATTAATTTATAGAGGTTTAACTGTATTATGGTTAATTCACTTATCATTAATTGTTTTTATGTTGTAAACCCATAACAAATTTAAATTTAACACATAGTTCTATAATCTTTATCTCCCTCAAGTTACATCCCAAAAAGGTTTTAAATTTAATGAACTCAAGAAAATGTTAGACTAAATGTATTTGGGCTCTTACGAAAAGGTTTTGGACACTTAAAAAACATTAAATTTGGTGACTAAAGCAAACTTGGTGATTAAGCAAACTTGATGACCAAGCTAATCTTCTCCTATAAAATATATATATAAACTAGATTTTGATCCGCGTTTTGAAAACGCGAGATTTTTCTCTTTCATAAGAATTAATACATAATTTATATTATACTATAGTTAATGAATTAGTATAGTTATTTTGAATTTAGATGAAAAATATAGATGTATTTTCTGTTGTATTTTATATCTATGTTTTTTATTTACTATACTGAATCAATTTTTATTATAATGTGCATAAATTTTTATATTTTTCTCCATATTAAAGTTTTTGGCAATGCAAACACATAACTATAAATATATGGATTTATTATATTGATTGGTGTTTGTAACCATTTTATATTTGTTACTCGTTTTTAATTTTGTTTGAACACACTCAATATGTGATATGCATTATGTTATATTTATATTTGGGTCATATGTGTGTGTATATATGGTCAATAAAATGATAGATATATCAAAGTACCAATCTTATCCTGTATTAATCTGCTGGTCAAAAAGTATGTATTAATCTAGGTTGCTAAAGTAATTATTTCCATGTGTATTGTCTTTGTGGAGAAATATGCTAAATTTTTTAAGTCTATATGCTAAATCATTGATTTAATGTTTGTTTTAATTCTATTTTACGTACATTAATTTCATTGTTTGTCTCTAAAAAGTCGCATGATACAAAAAAATAAAACATGAAATACTCTAAAACTATTGATAATCATTATATTTAATAATGTCCCATATTGCAGGTTCGAGCGTCTTTACAGTGGAAACAATTATTTTTAAAGTTTACTTTGTTCAGTTAATAGTTTAATACTAATTTGTTGGATATGAAATTTTTAGGTGGGTAGTATACTTTTAGTATATGAATATAATATATAATTATCTTAAAAATTGTAAGCATTAACTTCAAATTCATTTTATTTGGTAATGGAATATACAATTTTATTAGAATATAAATGATAATTACTGACTTCACAATTTTCTCATATTATCCGTTCAATATTATCAAATGCGGAATCAAATATTTTGAAAGTAAAATATCAATATAAAGTTTCCTACAGTTTCAAAAGGTTGATGTAATATCTGTATATAATTTTCCACCATTTTAGTGATGTTTCTCTAGTATGATTACATTGTATAAATATGATCATAAAACATACTATTGTATTTTAATAGATGGTTAATATGAATACTAAAATTAAAATGAAAACATTCATATTTACTAATTGACTATATTATGCATATTATATACTTGTACATTAATAATAACAGCAAGGGTTAAAATATTATAGACATATCCCTTACTTATTAATCAAGAATCATTTTTAAAATGTAACCTTGATTTAGTAAATTAATAACAACTTTGCCATTTTGCATACGTGGCAGCACCACAGCTCTCTTTAGCAACCTCAATTAAAACACCTTCAGTTATTAGAAAAATTACATCAATTGCCATTGAACCTCATAATTACATATTTTGTTAATGTAATATAACATAAGATCTTTCTTTGACGAACGTGACTGCAAAACAATCTTCACAAGTCGTCGCCATCTCTTTAGGTAGAACATCAATTTTTTTATACACCTTAACACTTTTTGAGAAGAGAAAATAACATTTTCACTTTTTATTATTTTTCTGGAAAAATTAAATTATCTTTGTTTCTTCTAGATCCACCCTCAATTCAATCTGGAAACCTTGAGCGTCATAAATCAGAGAAAGTTAGGTGTTTTATATTCATGGCATCTTTCTATGAACCAATGGATCTCTTTTGTAAGTGCTCAGTATTTAAAAGTCTGAGCATAATTTCAAAATTTTTTCTTTTCAGATTCTGAGTTTTGATTTGCAGACAAAAGAGCAAAAAGAGAATCTGGGTTGATGTTTAATCAGCAAGGAAGAAGAAGACCACGTGCTGCTAATTAAAATTCTTTTCACTTTTTTTTACAAACCCAACTAACCAATTCTTAGCGGTCCAACTAAATAATAAACTGAAATAATAGTTTTTCATTCATTTATTAATATATTAATATCATTTGCATGTATTATTTTATAATGGAATATTATATCATTTAAGTTACAGTGAAAATTGTTCAATACTTTTGTATTTGATGTTTTCTTTATAAATATATGAAAATACATTACTTCATACATAAAATTATTCTTCCAGTGCTCACTACTTTATTTCTGATTATTTCGTAACTCGCTAGAAATAGACCTACCATCTGATTCACACCTAAGACAATTTCGAATACATAGGAAGCTTCTTTCCCATAGCATAAATTCTATTTTTTTTTTCTTGAACAAATACATAAATTCTAACTTATTAGATCCTTTTATAAAAAAAATATTAATTTCAATGGTTTATTTTTTAAATAATATGAGATATAATTAGTTTATTAGGAGAAAATAATCTCAAAAAATCAAATATTACCTTAATTAATTTTGAATATTTTTTTGGAGAGGCTATTAATCTTAACACTCTTATTGTACTCATAATTTTTATCTTTGTTACGTTTTCACTGGAAAAAAAAACAGTTTTGCTCCCAAATTTGAAGTCATGATGTTTTGAAAATTGTCCATTATTTGAAATTACTGTTTTCGAATACTTGCAAAAAGAAGAAATGACAAGGAAATTGATACACAATAACTAATAAGGAAAACACCAAGAATGAAACCACAAATTACAACTATTCCATATGGATCACAGAGTGAAGTGAAGGACATGCATCAATAACTGAAAAAAAAAATTGGTTGGATAAGAATCATAAAAGATAAAATTGAAAGAAAACATAAACGGTTGAACAAGCATCTCGATAATTTGTTTAAAGGGAGCATGTTACGTTTCGCCGAACGAATTTTAATCCTTTTTTACTCAATATTGAAGATGAAAGAAGTTTTTTGATATTACCAACAAATGAGTTAAAGAAAATAGAATCACTATTAATTTATTTTTGGTATAGATAAGGCCAAAAAAATAATTTTTCAGCTTATCATATTATCATTTTTTTCTAAGCATAATTAATTTCTCACAATGAATGGTCTAATAATAAAGTCTATCTATCAATGTATAATCTAACAATGTGATACTAAAATACAATTCACAACCCAAATCTTCCAAAAATGTATAACAATATATTTATATTTCTAAAATTTTCATCCCGCACAAGGTGCGGGTATCTACCTAGTATTAGTTGTAAATGTCAACTTACGTTTGAAGAAGCCCTTTGTCCAACAAAAAAAAACTTAATGTGCAACGTGAGTCTATGAGCATTTATAGAATATGGTAGATTTAGTTAATATTGTTTAGTAATTTTAGGAAATAATCACTTTTAATTAATTAACTAGGAAAATCAGATATTTGAAATTCAAATATTTCAAATATAACTAAATGTAGAAATGACATAACATTGTAATTAAGTTCAAAAAATAAAGGCTTTAATAGTATAGATACATTTTCTTCATATATCTCACAAATACTCAAAATATTTTATAACACAACACACCATCTTTTAGCAAAAATGATTTGGGTCTTCTTTAAAGTAAGTGTTTGAGTAAATTTGGTGACCAAACTAATCTTCTCCTATAAATAGGTAGAATTTCTTCATTATTAATTTCTACTAGGGTTGGGCGTTCGGGAACCACTTCGGCTTTGGTTCGGATCTATTTTGGTTTTCGGGTTCACAAATTTTAGTCTCATTCGGATATTTCTAAATTTTGGTTCGGATTCGGTTCGGATCTTTGCGGGTTTGGTTCGGATTCGGTTCGGGTTCAGATAACCCATTTAAATTCTTTTTTTTCATTTTAAAATTTATTATATACTTGAAATTTATAAAAATCTATAAACAAAATAATATATTACAAATAATTGAATAACATAAG